AAGTCTAACGTTTGGCTGTCTAAAAGGGATGCATTAGCACAGTTTAATGTGGCAAAGCAAATCAGTAAAAAAACCCGCACCTTTAGCATATAATTGTTAAACAGAAATAGAAGTGAACACTCTGTTCTAGCTTCACAAGTGCGTACCAGACGTTTGATAGGAATACCCTGCTAACTTCCAATTACTGGTCTACATTATTTAATGAAGTCATCAAGTGTAGGATCTAGTAAAAGGATGTGCTTTTCCACAGAGATACTGTGCAGTGGATGAAAAGGGTGGCCTTGGGCAAAAGAGCAGCTGCAGAATGCTTACTGTCATGGCTAAATCATTCACAAATGTCTTGCCTCGGGCCTTGTTCACACCAGGTGAGTCGGGACTATGTTCGGCAGCCTTGGCCAGCGCAGTCCCGAAGCAAGACATGACAGAAAGTCCCACAAGTCCAATTCACACCACTGCAGTGCATAGGCATGTGCTGAAAACACAACTGCAATCATTATTACAGCAGTTGGAAATAGCCTGAAAGTGAAGATTGGCCTTTACCCCTGAACTTCAGGAGATAAGTGGTTACTTAATCTGGACCTAGACTTACCCTTACCCCTAGCTTTACCCTTTAAACAGTGTGTGGGCTCCTTTACATCAGCAACTGGTGTTCTCTGGGAGGGGACAGTGGCAATGTACCAGGATTGGCACATCACACTGTTTCCTTTATTCATGTATTTATTTTGTTAGAACACTAAGAATATCACAAGTGAAATTTCATTCAGTTCTATTGTCGGCAGCATTTCGGTGGATTCAGTCACACAATCCTGTGCTGAAGAAAGTACTGCTATATTTCCAACTGCTATAGTAATGAATGCAGAAGTAGGGTTAACTTGGAGGCTTCAGATTCTTGCCACTGCAGTACAAGTATGTAAGAAGCTAGCTGAAGTTTAGTTTTTAGCAAATTATATTATATTCTGAGCAAGGAGTAAAAGCACTTTAAAACAAGCCCTTATTCATTCCTGTATCTATAAGCATTGTGAAGAAATTAACTTTTAAAATTTACAAAACAGGCATTGAAATCTAAGCCCTTTCCCTCTTATTTCTATCATGCCAGAATCTTGGGAGCCTGCCAGTCCTCTATTGTAAACAACCAGTTGCTGTTACTAAGCTGTAAGGAGCCATTCACAGTAAGACGTGCAACGTGATTCGAGCATTTTGATGTACATTTTTCGTGCAAATTAACAATGAATGGCACCTCAAACACAATGTAATTTAAGTGTGAATGTAGCCTGACAACTGAAACCCAACCCTAGATTCTTTGTTGTAATCTTTAACCTCTTGCTGACCGCATAACACATATATGCGACGGCAAGAAAATTTGGCCTTTATGCCCAAATGCCACATATATGCTTCCACAGTGACCTGAGGTTGAATCCTCAAAGCGTGCTCACTGCTTGCTCCCAGCCCACTGATAAAACTGCCACTGACAATTCCTGGTCACAGTCTAAGATTCTGAAGCCATATATTTCTCATATAAATAGTTATGGAAATAAAAGATTTTTTCCAAGCATTACAAAAAGGATGAGTAACAAGTTTAACATGTTTATTTAGTTACGTTCTGCCATCCAACATGTTATTAGACATGAATGCTGCAATTACCCACTATGCTAAATTACATAGCTGGAAATAACAGAGGCGAGAAAGAGCTTTTGTTCTACGAGACAGCTCTAAACCTTTTTCTGAAAGAAGTTTAAAGAAAAGGTTTGTCTGTAGCAATTTTAGGGGTTACGGATCCAAAATACTGTATAAGCCTATTCATATTGATTATTCACATAAATATCTTGAGAATAAATGTATGCAGGACTTGACTGAAGGCATGTGCTTATCATTAAAATTGTTCTCTTAGTTTAGGATAGAATGGCTAATATTTAAAACAGTTAAAGTTGTTTTTTTCTTTTTCTCTGTCCTTATCTTATTAGGGTGTTTTTCATTCACTTCCTGTGCAGTAGATAGTGTTGTCACTGTGTCATGAAATGAGTGGAAATCTCCAATGGGAACTCAAGCAACAATAAAATAAAGCTAAGGGGGTCCAGCCTTCCCCACCCTACTTATAAAAAAGTACCTTTATTACTGTTTTCTAGTTAAAGAAATTTCCCCTCACTTCCTGTCATGCTGATGTTGCTAAAGAGGCAAGAAATGAAGGAAAGTGTCCTGAATGGGGCCACAAGCCACAAAATTTGGGAGTTTCTACCCATGCCTTAGTCTATTCAAGAGGACAAAAAAGAGGTATAGATACAATTTAAAGTAAACCTGTCACATAAAGTATACAAAAATACCACTATGGCTGAAGGGATGCACCAAGAAGAGTCTACAGGTATTAAAATGGAAATCCAGTCTAAATGGGACTAAGTTTAACCACTTCCCACTGGCTGTACACATATATGTGGCCTCTCAACGTGTGTGCCTTAACACCGAGGGGCCACATATATGCAACCCTGTGTAAACCATGTACCATGCTGAGAGCACTCTCCCTGCATGCTCCCAGCATGGTAGCCAGCGGGGATCGGTAAGCACCCGATGCATACTTGAGATCGGGAACTTTCTAATCATGTGACCACTGTGACAGCCAATCACAGTGATCACATGACTCACATGACTTTTTATGCTTTTGGAACTCTTAAAGAGCCAGAAGGAAGTTGGCAGGAAAGGGTTAAACTTACTCCCACCCCCTTTCTAATCCCTATATAAACTAGTCTGTAAAGGAAAAATGTATATATTTACCTAATCTAAGGGCTCTCCAGTCTGGTTATGTGATAGGCTCCCAGTGCCAGCTTCAGGAAGAGGAGGGACAGCTGACAATGGATGCAACATAGTAAGTCTGTGGGTAACATCACCACCCAGGCCCTGAAGCCATTGGTGCTGCTCTCTCCTCTCCCCTGAAACCAGCCACTAGGGAGATTGCGTGCCCAGACTGGAGCATCCTTAGATTATGTAAGTATATGCATCTTTCCTTTAGAGACTAGTTAGTATAAGGCTTAGAACGGGGGTGGGAACAGGTTTAAGGTTAGTTTTAGACTAGTTTTCTACTTTACTCCTTTACACTTTTTTTTTGAAGTGTCAACTTACCCTGGGTGCACTGTCCATAGAGGCCTGAGCTTCTGCTTTAGCTCTCAGCTGATGTCTGCCTCCATTATTAACAAACCAACGCCAGTGGAGTGTGAAGGAGAGACTTGTATAATATAGCTTCAGTAAGATTAAAATAAATCTCTGAACATGAAGGCGATGTTTCCACAAAATATCAGGTGGTATGCAGGGGTGCCTCAAGGAAAATCCCATGGAAGGGAATCAAAGAAAATATGTGTCTGGCACTGGTCAATTCCGAACACGTAACATGAACACAAACACATTTACCAAGACCATTTATTAGTGTGTTGTGTTCTGAATATACACTATATACATAATTGTATCAATATTCAATCACAGTATGTTACAATGATTAAATACTATTTAGAATAACATTTTGAGAACAACCTTTGTTATTTGAATTCATATAGATTCTTAAGGAGTGATTTCTAGAGCTAATGAAGTAGTTTTTTTTTTGTTTCTATAAGTCAGTGGTGGTCAGCTTTCTTCCTTAAGTGTGGCCCTGACATCAACAAAGGGTCGCACATAAACTTCAGTGAATATCAGAGACAGCAGATACACAACAAGATATAAAGCACTGGGGCTATAAGTGCTGCCAAACAATGGCACCTATACCCAAAATGTACATTCTCTTCCAATAGACAACTACAAAAACTCTAAAATAAACTTTACATTAAAGGAGGGGTGTACATTTGCTAATCGCTTTCTAAATACTTTTTTGTAAGTTTGTCTAGGTGACCACAAAGCTCCAGTTAGTCTGTGTCATGCAAGGGTCCAAGAATGTTTCTGAATATCATAAAGCCATCACATCATCCCGTTGGCATCCATAGCTCCCAACCATTGTCAGCCAGGAGAGCGTTTAATCCCACCAGCTGCAGAGAGAGAGAGGAATGACATGGAGAGACAGAGGTTGTGTTCAAAAGACTGCACCAAAAATAGAGAAACAAAAAAAAAGAAACAGAGAAGCAATTTATTACAAAACGTATACAGGAGGGTCAGAGCAAGAGGGGTGAAGCATTTAACAGGTGGGTTATTGTGACAATGTTTCTCCTACTTTAACTGGTCCCATTTCTCATCACAAATGTATGTGATGTTTTTGTATCACATACTTGAATTGATGGAACATGTTGTAGAAAACTGCAGAAAGGTTGAATAAAAAAATCAATGTTTACTGTATGTTGGTCTGGGCTTGTAATAACAGTTCTCAAAGGACGGGGAAAGGCAGAGTTAAGAATTTATAAGTGTTTTGCTTTCGCTGGATGTATTAAAGGGTGTACCAACAGCATACATTTTAACAATTTTTTAAGATGTTGGGGGATTTAAACTACATACTAATTCCCTATATCACTTGAAGAATCCATGGGTGGCATCTCTGTTCTTGAGTTCTCAGTCTGCATATCCGCCATGTTTGGGATAAGGAGCACCCTCTCTTTCACAGAATACATTAGGAACAGTGGCAAAACCCAAATATAGGTGGGAACACTCAGAATGCCAAGGTGTACAGGAGTAAAACCAGGGAGTATGGGATGGATATCTTGTAATTGAAGTCCCCACAAGACTTGACCTATACATGAAATATCACTTTGGCAAGCCTACCCTTTAAATGAGCTCTTTTCAACTACAGTTACCCTTTACATCTTCTTTCTTTGCCTCTTAACTCTTTCCAGTTATTACTAACGTTCTTGTTTCTGTCATGTGAGTTGAATCAAAATTTGTTTAAACTGGATGAATTGTTCCAATTTAGCTGGCCTTGGATGAGCTTGTGACTCTCAGTCATCTTAGGAAGTTGCATTGACTGGATGTTGTGCAGGACTCCACCCTGGACGATGGCCACAAGCAACTTGTTGAGCTCCTCTTTATTGTAGACAGCCAGCTTAAGGGATGCTGTTTTTTTTGTCAAAGGTGGCATTGGTGGCCAGGTTGAAGATTTCAGCCATTAGATACTCAAGGACGGCGGGCAGACAGATTGGAGCTCCAGCCCGACTCTGTATATTTACCCTTCCTGAGCAGATGGAGAACACAGCCAACAAAGAACTGCAGATCAGCTTTGGATTATTGGGGCTTGGACAAAGCCCATGTCTCTTTCCTCCTTGTTTCCCCGGTCCAGACATAGTCTTTCAAAGCAAGTGGAACATTCGCCAAAAATGTTTTTTTTTTTTAGACACAGCAGGGAAGGGGTAGCGATCCAGTTGGGTATTCATTGCCTTCCATGTGCCCATTGTGAAGATCTCCTCTCATTTATTGCCTTGCAGCAGTACAGCAAGCAGGAGGGGATAAATCTCTTTGATGAAGACACAGGCAACAGCATAAATTCAACAGAGATATTAACCCTTCCCCCTTTATCCAAAAATAAATTTTAAAAAATGTCTGGATTTCCACTTTAAATAATTTTACAGGTCTGTGATCTTCTATCTGAGTATATGTATGAGAGAGCAGCTTGCTCCAATGCTCTTACTGAATTCCTTATGCCACGGTCTGTCTTCTGGCATTTTATTCACGTTATGACTTAGAAGTCCATTTTAAAGTAAACCTAATTCCGATCACTAAAATCTCATAATATATTTAACTTGTTAATCTAACTATAATAATTGTTCTCAATCTCTTTAAATAGGCTTCTAGACATTCACTGTTATGGGGTGACAAATGACTACCAAACTATACTCCACCATTGTCACCTTGTTAAAAAACCACCGATGGAGGCGACAGACCCTTAAAGTGGTACTAAACCCAAAAGCAAACATTTATTATATTGCAGCTTACCAATTCTTAGATGTAATGGCTGCATTGTTTTTCTTTTTTTTATGCTTTCTTTCCTTTATTTTTGCTTGGTGATTCAGCCAGTAAGTCTGTTGTCTTGCAGATGTAGCGGTTAGAGGTTTGAGACAAACCATTTAACACTAATGTGTGCTTCCAATGATCAGCTTTTATTTATTTATGCAAAACCTTTATCCCAAAAGGAAAAAAAACGGTTTCTGTAACTGTAAGTGTTAGCTGGAGTTTGTCTTCAATTTGTTATTGTATTTAAATCTGATAGTGCATCTAATACTTCTCTCTCCCCAGAATGACAATGCTGCTGTCCAAAGGTGTCTTTGTTGCTCTTTCATCCAGAGTGGGAGTACCGTATTACAGGAGGTATGTTGCTGACCAGATCACCAGGTGAAATCAGAGGGGAAAAAGAAATCCTAATAAAAATCTAATGCAGCCACCACATCTAATGATTGGTAAACTGGAATATGTAACAGTTTTGGTTTTGGGTTTAACCACTTGCCGTCCGCCTACTGTTTTTAAACGGCAGGACGGTGGCACTCCAGGGGCGGGTTGCCATTCATAAACACAGTGAAACACAGTGAAACACTGATCGTCAGATGTGACCTTTGTACGAGGCCCCGATCATGTGATCACTGATTGGCCAATCAGTGATCACATGCAAAGTAGTAAGCAAGATGTCACTTGTGACATCATTGCTTACTATGTGTGAAATCTGTGAATGATAACAGAGGTCACATGATACAAGGCTATTCACAACAGCCTTGTACCATGTGACAAGCTCTGACCAATCACAGCTCACACAGTATTTCTCAGTGGCTGCAAGAATGCAGACAGAGAGAAAGAGAAATGATTGCTTTTACATCCTATATGGGTGTAAAAGCAATCACTGTAAAAAAAAAAAAAAAAAAAAAAAAATCTTCATCACCCCCCACAAGTAGTACAGTGTCACCATGGTGACACTGTACTGCTAGGGTGACAGTATGTAAAAAAAAGAAGAAGAAAAAAACATAATTAATAATATAAAAAAATAAAACAAATATGTAAAAACATTTTTTAAAAATTATAATTTTTGGTTATAAACTAATTTGGCGTATTTTTTTTTTTAATAACAAGATAACGGAATACATTTTGGCAAAGATTTATGATGAAATATTATTTATTTGTAAAATTTTATAAGAAAAACACTTTTTTCAAAATTTGTGGACTTTTTCATTTACATAGCAAAAAAAAGAAAAATCCCAGCGGTGAATAAATACCACCAAAATAAAGCTTTATCTGTCTCAAAAAAATGGTAAAAAATTCATATGGGTACAGTGTTGCATGACCGCGCAATTGTCATTCAAAGTGTGATAGCGCTGAAAGCTGAAAATTGCCCTGGACAGTAAGGGGGTAAAAGTGTCCGGACAGGAAGTGGTTAATACCGCTTTAATATTTTAACACAGTGATAAAACGCATTATTTGTGAGGGTAACATGAACTTTAACTTTTATTAGAAAATGTTTACTTTAATTCTAGGCAATGAAGAAGCAGACTGGAAAAGACAGAATGTTTTAAAAAGGTTCTGCAGCAGTGTCATTAAATGCAGTGGTGTGAAAAGGCTATGACAGTAAAACACCCCCTGTGCATACAGCTGTCTATCTCCTTTTGAACCTTTTTTTTACTTGATGGCAGTGAATTTTACTTTTTTCCCCACTGTATTTATCTATCCTTAAGCTGCTACGCCAAGCCACATGCTAATTCTCTGAAATGATATTTATCTCTACCAGACTACTTCTCTTCCAGGCCATTTTTTGCAGGCAGTTTTCTCTTTGCTTCCACCTATAATTTGCTAGTCACAGAAGCTACAGTTTGCTAATTAAAGCACAGTAAAGTTAATAACACTATTTACATTAGCTCTTCCATCTCTGTGCATGAAAAGCCGACTCATGTAATTGTGGCATTATGCATAAGACGGAAGCAGCATTACTCCTGACCTCTGAACTGCAAGCAATTAATATCACAATACTCAAGTGTTAGGGGAATGCGACTGAATGCTCTCCCATAAGCTGAATGTGACAGGAAGGTGAAATCTAATGAGTTTAGCTCTGCACTCTAATGGTCCTTTGCTGCGAGATTGGATTTAAATAGATAGCATGGATGCCACTGAGTACAAAAATAACATGGCGACACAGACCCACCCAGGTAAATAACACGCTAGAGCCAGGGGTGGACTGACAACTCATGGGGCCCCCGGGCAATAGGGGATCATGGGGCCCCTGTGTCCTTGCCCTGTGTCCTTGATTGGATTTAAATAGATAGCATGTATGCCACTGAGTACAAAAATAACATGGCGACACAGACCCACACAGGTAAATAACATGCTAGAGCCAGGGGCGGACTGACAATTCATGGGGCCCCCGGGCAATAGGGGATCATGGGGCCCCTGTGTCCTTGCCCCGTGTCCTTGCCCCGTGTCCTTGATTGGATTTAAATAGATAGCATGTATGCCACTGAGTTCAAAAATAACATGGCGACACAGACCCACACAGGTAAATAACACGCTAGAGCCAGGGGCGGACTGACAACTCATGGGGCCCCCGAGCAATAGGGGATCATGGGGCCCCTGTGTCCTTGCCCTTTGTCCTTGATTGGATTTAAATAGATAGCATGGATGCCACTGAGTACAAAAATAACATGGCGACACAGACCCACACAGGTAAATAACACGCTAGAGCCAGGGGCGGACTGACAACTCATGGGGCCCCCGAGCAATAGGGGATCATGGGGCCCCTGTGTCCTTGCCCTTTGTCCTTGATTGGATTTAAATAGATAGCATGTATGCCACTGAGTACAAAAATAACATGGTGACACAGACCCACACAGGTAAATAACACGCTAGAGCCAGGGGCGGACTGACAACTCATGGGGCCCCCGGGCAATAGGGGATCATGGGGCCCCTGTGTCCTTGCCCTGTGTCCTTGATTGGATTTAAATAGATAGCATGTATGCCACTGAGTACAAAAATAACATGGCGACACAGACCCACACAGCTAAATAACACGCTAGAGCCAGGGGCGGACTGACAACTCATGGGGCCCCCGGGCAATAGGGGATCATGGGGCCCCTGTGTCCTTGCCCTGTGTCCTTGATTGGATTTAAATAGATAGCATGTATGCCACTGAGTACAAAAATAAATGGCGACACAGACCCACACAGGTAAATAACACGCTAGAGTCAGGGGCGGACTGACAACTCATGGGGCCCCCGGCCAATAGGGGATCATGGGGCCTCTGTGTCCTTGCCCAAACTCAAAAAAGCCTATGAAAAAGGTACCAGGGGCAACTCATGGGGCCCCCTACTGACCCCGGGCCCTCGGGCAGTGCCCGAGTTTCCAAATGGTCAGTCCGCCCCTGGCTAGAGCACATATTGGACTTGCTTAATAAAAGTTAAAGACAAGGACTCATGTTCATTTCAAACCAGTCATGTGTCTAATTTCTTAGGGTTCATATACATTGCAGCTGATAAACTCACAGGTTTAGGAGCTGTTCAGCAATTTTTTCAGCAGCCCCTGAACTCACCCTAATGTTTTCCTATGTGTCCTTGTACACATCTTCGTTTACAGTCGTTTACAGCCATTTGAGTTTACAGTCTTTTTTTTTTGAGAGCAGAAAACTTGCGTTCAGCAGTCGATTGTATCAGTGTTTCAAACGCAAAATACTTGTAAACGCGACAAATTGCGTTTATAAGCGTTTGCAATTTTTTTAAAACTCTTACAGCTCCCAATGCCGTCCAGAGCATTTTTTCATCATGAAAAATGCATGCAGAGCATTTTCAAGGTACTCAGATGGACAAAACATTGAACGCAGGATGTTCCTACCAAGCTTGTCACACATTGTAATGAACAATTCACACCTCAGACCTCTCCTACCCTTGGAAACAAAAGATATGTTAAATCACACCTGGAATTCCTCATGAAGACCCCCTGCTGGGTGGCCTTAATGATTCACCAGACACCTTTCCCACCCTTGGAAACAAAAGAAATGTTAATGAATAACTCACACCTAAGCTAATCTCAACATGTACTTCTCTCTCTGCTTCTACTCTCTGTATTTCTCTGAAACAGTCTGAAATAGTAAATAATTTACCACTTTTCAGTGCATTCTGGGCATTATGGGAGGTTCTCCTGTGCTTATCTTTAAAAAATGCTTCTAAATGCAAACGCGCATAAACGCGGCTAAACGCGGTATGCAAACGCGGCTAAACATACATTTTTTTTAACCTACGTTTTCCAGTAGTCAGTTTCCATCGTTCAGAAGTGTCCCATGTACATGGGGCCTTATAGTCTTCCACTGGAAAATGACACA